TATATATATATATATATATATATATATATATGTATACTATTCAATAGTAGTCATACATAATATCGCGTACATACGTATATAAACACAGAATGATATAGTACTCATTATTTATAATTTCAGATGAACAATTGTTAGATATATTTTAAGATCAAATGTTAATGTAAAAACGGACGGATTGGATCAAAGTAGATATAAAATATAAACGAATAGAAAGTAAAATCTGTTTCTCCAACAGGGGAAAGGTGAAGTAGAGGAGAAAGAGTTTTTGATTGGTCCATTGCTTTTCACACTTTTATAAGAAAGCTTGAAAAAAAAGAACATTAAATACTTTTGAAACACGTTACTAAAACTAGATTTGGTCCTTTGTTTGGTCATTAACATATATATATATAAATATCTAATTTCGGTCAAATCTTTTATTAGTATACTACTTTTGTTGCTGGATTATGAAGTGTTGTCGCATAAGCGTTAGATTCGTGTGATTATTCATTCAATCTGGGGATAAAAATGATCGAACATATGCGCAAAGGTGGAAAGAAGCGGGTCGCTAGGCAAGTAAAGTATGTACTTACAATTAGTTTCATTTCTTTATCACTTACTACTATATTGTGCTGCATAAATATTGTTTGTGTGATACTTTCGACTATGAATATGTGTTTCTTACACTTAAGATTATACTATAAATTCTATTGGAAACAACCAGACTCTCACAAGACTTCTTTCCATCTGCGCGTAGCATTGTGATATCGTTTCATTAGTCGTATCATATAGAATTGAACAGTTACACGTAAAAAATGAGTGAAAGAAAAAGGATGGGCAAGAAAGAGACAGAAATAGACAAGTAGATAAAAAGATAGATAGATAGATAGATAGATAGATAGATAGATAGAGAGAGAGAGAAAAGTGGAGAGAGTCTGTAAATTATGAGATATTGCAGTCGTCCGTATAAGTGTCCCTAATTTGTTGTTTGGTTTTTCGCGAAGTGCGTCGAATTAAGCTACGGCTGCGCGGTTTACTCTTCGTTTCCTCATTGACACTGACGATATTTGAACTTTGCGCTGCAACCACTTGCTGAGAATTGTCAACAGAGCCGGCGCTTCCGGTTCTGCCGTGTGGGCTGCCAGACCTACCAACTCGATCGCTTCTGTAATACGCGATAATACGAAATTGATCAAGTAACGATCGAGCGTTATATACATGTACGTATGTATATTGGGACAGGGTTCAATAATAATAAAAAAGCGTATATTACGTGACGCAATATGTTCAATCTTTTTCACCATTTGCCCTTCAAGAAATCGAGCTTTCATTTTCAATTTGCTTGGAAAAACGCTCCAGCGATAGTCAAGATAGATGATTAATTCCCGCGAAATACCTTACGCTCGCGCGTTGCTTCCGTACGCGTGTGTTCTACAGGTATAAGTACATACAGTGAAGAGGATAAACAATGGAAAAATTGTCGGTAATTTGAACTGACTATCACTTTGTAAAAAAAAAGGAATCGTATAACGATCTATTCGATCTCATCTTTTAAAAACACGAAGGAAACTAGAGAGAATGCTTCTTCGTCGGATATTGCAGAAATTCAAACGTGTGTAAAAAAACATCGAAGAACTTTTTTTCGTAACTACTATCATTTTGAAGATTGAAGCCTCTCTTTCACAACAATTTCTTGGAATTTGCTGCACGATTTTTTTTCCCCATCATTTTATTGAACATTAACGGTTAGATGACGAAATGTTTTAAGGGCTCGTTTGTAAAGAGGAAATTTCAATCTTCAAGATAGACAGTAGACTTGCGAGTCATTAAAGAAATTTTCTTATGTTTTTGCACGTTTGAATTTTGACAATTTTCGAGAGGAAAGTATCTTCAGATATATAAAATCATACGAAGTCATACTTTACAAATGAAACGAGTTCACGACTGTCGAACTAGAGGATTTCACGCTTCGAAATGAGACCAAGGTTTTATTTTATATGATTTTTTTTTTTCTTTTACAAGGTTATATCAGTTTCAAATTCTCATTATCATTGGTACAATTATGCTCTTCACTGTATTTATGTACACATATGTACATAGATATGTGATGTAATGTATTATATTACTGGGAATATATTCTGTTTACAACTAGTCGGGATGTGCCGAACAATGAAAATAAAGCAAAGTATAACGTAACAAGTGTTGAGAAGCTGATCAACGTACTTGTAACAAATACGGTAGGATAACGAGAATAGAAGAAAATAAAAAAAAGAGGAGAGAGA